TAGACTGAAGTGACAATGAAACACATAATCAACCTAGGGCTGGAGATGCCTGCCCTTAATAGAGATGTGACCCTCAACCTTCCTTCTATAGAGATGAAACTGTACCCCGATGAACCAGGGGATTGGGTATATTTGAAAACCTAGACGTCAGGGTCCTCTTAAGCTTAAAACCCCAATTGGACAGGGTATGACATAATTTCACTCACTACTTACTCTATTGTGAAACTGCAAGGTATAACTCCTTCGATTCATTACACCTGAGTAAAAATGGTCCAGGAAGCAGAAGACTTGGCTGAGCCAGGGAATGTGTTCTTTGTGAACCAGGATGAGGGCTCACTGAGCAGTGTATGTCATGGTTTAGACCTGAAATGTTCCCCAAATTCCCGTATGTTGTAGGGTTGGTCCCAAGTGTAGCAGTGATCAGAAGTGGAGTCTTGGGGAAGTGAGTGGATCATGGCTACTGGAGGTGGTGGAAACTTTAGGAGGTAGGCCTAAAGCAGTCACTGGAAGCATGTCCTTAAAGGTATACTTCATCTCATACCCCCACCTCCTTCCAGCTATCATGAGATAAGCAGCTTTGCTCCGTCCACTATGTGCCCCCCACTGCAATATTCTGCCTCACCACAGGCCCAGAAGCAATGCAGCTAAGTAACTATGAACTGAAACCCCTGAAAATGTATGACAAAATACATCTTTCCTCCTTTAACTTGATTCTCCCAGATATTTAGTCACAGTGATAGAAATATGAGTATTAAAAAGCTAAGCAATTAGGGACCTTTTTGTCTTATTCTCCTGGTTGGTCTATTTGCCTGTCTATTTCAGAAGACAATGTCCTAAATTTAAATAGCAATGACTACATGATTTCATCCACATTATTATTGCTACAGTTATCTATTCTTGGCTACACTTTGCCATTACCTTAGGAACTAACCAGTATGGTTTCTGTTTACATTATTGTCTTCTCCACCCTTGTATTTGTATGGAAAGATAACTCTACAATTGAGATATCTAGAACCCTGAGTAAGGCTGGAAATTTGACTGCTGGATATGTCACCTACAACCTATCTGGCTTCAAAACCTATCTTCTATTTGACCTGTAACTATTCCATAGTTCCTAACTTTACTAGGCGATATGATAGAAAGACCCCCGAAGTAACATACTAAATAAGGAGTAAGGGTAACCCCTCCAAACACTACGTACCCCTCCCCTTATTTTTCCTTAACTCCTTCACAGAAAAGCTAGAGTTCTGCCATATATCAAGTTATAAATTGGCATGAGCCTATCTCTACTGCTATAATCAACACACTATTTAAAATATCACTTCCCAGTAACAGTTCGGCTAGATTCTACGTAGGGAAAGCCAACGTTAGGAGGCTCCTGCAACTTTGCCCTATATTTGGTCTATGAATCTTTCCCTTTTTTCTATAGAAGATTCAATATGTGGGATAAGGAGTTCCCATTTCTTATCTATTATAAATCTTCAGAGGTCTGTTTAGTTACACTGGACTCTTTATCTTGTTTCCCAAATCTCAGTGGTTTGAATTACTTTGGGAAGTTTTCCCCTAAGACTGACAGCTTAACTTACAATACCTGTTTGTTTGCAAGGATTCTGAAGGTACCTCATGGGCATAAACATAACCGGATACTTGAAGAACTGGGAACACTTGTCTGTTGGGCTACCTGGATATACCTGTTTCTTAGACACCAGTCCCAAGAAACTAAGCATTAGGTCATCTTTCTAAATTATTCTCAAGAACTAAGAGACAGCCTTCTAACTGTATGCCTGAGTAAAAGAGGATGGACTTTGGTATATATATGGTAGGATTTTCTTGCCCTGGTAGGAGGTAGGAGCCCATAAACATATGATTAGAAATATGTCTACCACCCTTAAAACTGTAGCTAATGAACAAGTAGAATCCTTAGCTAAGATAATGCTTGATAACCGACTGCATTATACAATATCCTGGCTGATCAAGGAAAGGTTTCTGCTATCACAAATATGTACTTCCCATTGTGTTTACATTAACACCTCTGCCAAAGCAGAAATTTACCTTGAGAAGATTTGGAAACAGGTGTCCTGGCTTCAACAAATATACCCAGAAGCACCAGGAATAAATGACTTGTGCTCTGGGTTATTTTCCTGTATACCCTAGGGAATTATGTGTGTTTTCTGGGCTACTCAAATTCAAAATGTCCATTTTACTGATCTTACTTATGATTCATGTCATAATTAAAGTGCTTTGATATGTTCCAGTAAAACAATGGCAAAGGATGTTCAAGCTGTGGTTTTACAGACTACCCCAAGAGGTCCTAAAATCTATCATGCTTTGACATTAAAAGGGTTTCACTTCTCTAACTCAGGAAGGATATGATGAAGTCATCATTCAGGAATAAGCAGTTCTTAAAAAATGACCCCCATCACCCTTTAAAAAAAAAAATGACCCCCATCTCTAAACTCCTGAAGAACAAGGACTAAAATGTTTTGGAGAATTTTGTTCGCTGTTAGGCAAGACAAGTACATGTGCTTGTCAGGAAGAAGCACCTGTCTCCCATCATAACTGCTAGCATCCATTCAAGAACTGTTTGTTTCAGGCAAGGCCTTCCAGAGAAGACCATGAAGAACTGGTTTAAGACAGACCAAGCCACCCAACCCCACTTCTAGGGGACCTACAGTAAACTTTGTTCATTATAATCTTGTTATAATGCTAAATTTTCTGCCCTACGGACATTCCCATATGCCTTTTTTAAAAATGCAATGTATGAAGAAGCACAATTTCCAACTGCATGTGCCCACTTCTACGTGTGACAGGTCTTTCCAGTATGATTATACATAAGTCTCCCAATAAAATTCCCTTGTTTCCTTTGGAGAGACACTGCTTTTAAGGGTTATCTCCAATGCAGTTATCTCTATTTGCTGCAAGTAATACACTTTTCTTCATTCTTATTTCTTGGTCATGCTTACTGGCTTGGGGGGCGAAGATCCACTATTCATTTTCAGGCTCATATATCTATGAAAACCAGGAAGTTGGCCCAGACATGGTGCCACATACCTGGAATTCTAGTACTTCAGAAGGTGAGGCAGGAAGATCACTGTAAATTCCTAGGCTAGCCTGGGCTATGTAGTGAATTGAAGGCCAGCATGAACTACATAGCAAGACCCTGTCTCAAAAACAAAACACATCAAAAAACCACACCCAGGAAGTTAAGAAAATTTAAATTTGGCAAATTCATCAATGTTTTCGGAAGTTGTTTTTCTGTCCTATTTTTACATATTCAACAACAAAAAATCTAGTTAAAGCTTTAAAAGGCTCAATTAAATATGTTTGATAAGTGGGGCTATGCTCAACAATATTTGAATAAGTGATTATAAAAAGAACTGGGGCAAGGAGAATTTGGAAGAAATAATCAAATTAAAACTTGTAACGGTCTATGTTGCATCTGTGTGGCTAAAAATGCAGACCCACAGCTCCATGACAATTGTAAAGTTTTATAATGAGGTTAAGCAAGTTCTGCCTTCTTTAGGAATACCCTTAAAATTAAAAAAAAAAAAAAATCCCCATTCAAATGTCATTCTGGTGTTTTAAAAATGAACAAAAAGGCAAGTATCTGGATGCAAGTTTTGAGAAAATGACTGAGATAAGCAAACTAAAGTTCATTTCTCTAGATGAAATATTGCAAGCTATTTTTTAAAGAATTATTAGGAATTTAAAATATAGGTAGAAAATGAATAATCTTTTAGTTTTGTCAGATAATGCACAGTGATGCACATGCTGGAACTGACACTTACTGGTTTGGGGCAAAAGATCTAAAAACAATGCAAGCAGGGTGTTCTCTGCTTCGTGAGCCTGCATGCTTCTTTGTTTTTTTCAGTGCTAGAATAAACAGGCAGGATTAACCACATAAAGGAACTCTAAGATCCTTTCTAGCTAAAAAATTCCTGTGATTTATTATAATGAATTATATACCATTTTGATACCTTGAGAGCAAAAAGCCAGCAATGGTCCTCAACCACAGAATGATTTACACGTATTTAAAGGTTGCTGTTATGGTTCAGATCTAGAATGTCCCCCAAAGTCTGCTGTACTTAGAAGATGATTGGATCATTGGGGCACTACACTCATCAGGCCCATTGACGAGTTTATAGGTAAACTAATTGCTGTTCGAAGTTGGGTCCTGATTAGAGGTGGGTCACTGGGGGCATAACCCGGAAGGGTGTACTCTTTTTCCCATATGGCTCCTCTGCTTTGTCTCTGCTTCCTGGCTGCCACTGGATAAGCAGCTACCCTCTGCCAGGCCCTTCCACCATGCTGTTTCTCCCGTGGAGCCAGCCAAATATGGACTGAACCCACAGGAAACTGTGAGCCAAATAAATATCTCCTTATTTAAGCTGTATGTGTCGGCTATTTTCTTGCGGTGACTAAAGGGTGCAAAGACAGAGATTTGGCCTGCAAATCCTATAGTATTTACTATCTGGCCCTTAATAGAAAACGTTTACTGACCCTTGCCTTAGAGGAAGGACATAGAAATTGTTTTCCATAAAGGCAAGCAAATAACTTTGGCACAGAAAAGGTTCAAGGCAAATGAAATCCACTGAAGACAACTAGGAAAGTATGGATAGTGCTGCTTTTTGCTAAAGGCGTGGAGACACAGCTGGGGCCAATTGATTAATAACTATGTCAGAGCTCTAGCTTTGAATCTCACAAAATGAGAATGATAGGAGGCTCAGGCCAATGCTGCAGCACACAGGGTTACAGGGTACGCACTGCACAACTCTACGAGTCCTTAGTCTCATCATTACCATTGTGAATAGCACCACCTTCAGAGCTAGAATGCACAACCTGCACAGCTGGACGCACAACCCCTGGCTTGGGCTATCCATGGTATTTTACAACTGAACTTCCCACACGGTGATCTGAAGTAGTCTGGTAGGACTTTTCTCATAATTTTGAAGAACTTATGTCGGTGGGCTCCCACTGAGTTAATGTGGGAGCTACTATACCTTTCTGGTTGCCACGGGAACTTGGCTGCTGTGTCCCTGGCCACTGGAGCAATAGTGGTCGTCTGCGATGGTAATCTGCTCATTCTCTTCAGCTTCCAGCTGGCTTTGGTTGAAACGCAGGGACCCTTTTAGAATGTCTTTGATCTATTTTCAAAATAAAAGACAATAAGTAAAAGATGAAGGAGTTTGTGTTTAAATACTAGCTGAATCATACATTCTAAGTAAACTTGTTATTGACCTGGTTTTAAATAGCAAGTGTCCCCTTATCTATGGTTTCAGCTCCTTGTGATCCATTGCAGTTCAAAAATATCGAAAGGAAAATTCTAGAAATCAACAGTTCTGGGAATGAAAGAGTTACGCATCATCCTGAATAGCATGATGAAATCTCCTGCTGTCCCATTTCAACATACCTAGAATTCCCTTTGTCCTATCAGTATCCATTCTACAAATGCTACTGTCCTGGTTATCATATCAACTGTCACAGTATCACTGTACTTGTGTTCCGCTCACCTGTGTGTAGTAGCCAAACACTATACACAGGCCTATGTCATTCATCTCATTTTGTCTCTTCGAATAGTCATTCTGTCATCTCATACCTTCATCTCATACCTTTCTTCAATATAAGAAAAATTTTTGAGATCACATTTACAAAACTTTTATTACAGTATGATGTTATAATCATTCTCTTGTAAATTTCTTACTATGCCCAATGTATAAATTAAAACTTATTCTAAGTTTATGTATAGGAAAAATGTAATACATGTACAGTCAGTCCTATCTATAGTTTCAGACATGCTCTGGGGGCCTTGGAATCTATGCCCAGTAGATAAGGTGGGAATACTACTGTACAGATTTTAACATTTTACTATAAGAAAGAAATAATGCACAGCTTTATCAAGGTTGAGGACTTAGCAATGACCAAGGAAAATTTCAGGGTGTTAATGGTCAGATTTTCCCAAGGTCAAATATGGGCATCACATTCCTGGCAGTTAAAGAAGCATGCACCATTTACCTGCAAGGCCAGCCCAGGTGAGCAGCCTTATCTACTAAACTGGCTCCACCAGAGGGGAGCTACTCAGAACTAGGCAGGCATTTGAGAAAAGTATCCTCCTTCTCTTTGACATTTATATGTCCTACTTAGACCTGCAATATTTACGTAATTTTGGCTTTTGAGGGTTTGAGCCCTGCTATGGGTAGTGATTATGACCTGTACTCCAAGGATATGCATATATTTGTGAGTAAACGACTGACTGAACATGATGCTGGGCCACACCACAGTAGCTCTGGATGAGAAATAAAGAGAATGGGTTTGGAAAGAGGAAGGGGAAACACTAGAAACGTAAAAGCCATTTGGGCTGCATGTTAGACAGTTACTAGAAGGAGCAAGGTGCAAAACTAAGTAGAGATTTGCGAGGGGTTCTTCCTGAGAGGACAAGGAGGAGCAAGGGGATACTGGTTGTAATATCATAGTATGTATCCTTTAAGGAGACTTACCCAGAGTAGGCACCAAATGGGTGGCCTGCAGGACATAATAATGTCACAGCGATGCACATACCTGTTTCAATCCTGCCAGGGACACCAGAATTTGGTCTTCTTTTTCCAAATTTTCTTGTAAAATCACATCTTGAATATTTCCTGAAAATAGAATGATATTTGCTCTGAATGTAATTTATATGTTGTCACACCATAACCTTACACAAGCTTGGGAATTTTTCTGCCAAATTTTATAGCAACTGTGACACCAAGGATGCTCTGTAAACTGCAGACGGGAAGCTGGGTGGGCAGCACTGAGCCTGCTACGCAGCCTTCCCCTCAGCATTGCAGAGATATGCTTTAATCACGACGTATGTGTTTACTTCCAGTGAGAAACAGGGCGCCTTTTGCTAATGAGCGGTGTGGCCAACAGCAAGGAGCATCATTCAATCTCAAGGAGGGAGGTTTTGTAGCCCAAGCTTCCTACAGCTCCTGACAGGTTAGTGGTGTTAGCTCACCTCTGTAAAGGATAGTTCCTCCCACAGAACTCAAACTAGTATAGAAATTGTCTTCAAGGGTTTGCAAGAGTAAATGATGTTACCATTTCGACATAACAGTAAAACAAAAGGACAAAAAGCACTAGAGAACATCCTTAGATGCTGATGCCCATGGAGTTGGTATGCCTTAACCCAGTATCTTCATAGGAGCTGTTTCTCTGTCTCCAGATGGCTCAGATCCACGTTAGGAGTCTTTCCTCTAGCCCTAACCTAAAGGACCTCCAGCTTCTGACTCTCAGGGTTGGCATCCCATTCAGTTGCACAGTGGTGCATTACACATGGTTCTTACCCTCCACAACCCTGGAGGACATGTACAGCCTTGTCAAAGATAGTAGCTTATTCAGGTGAGTTTCTCAGGAGAAGGAGGAGTAAAAACCCACTCCCCTGGGAATGTACAAGAGGATGTGTTGGAGGGCAGGAACAAACAAAACACATTTTAAAAATACCAATAAGCACCCCTATTTGAAAGTTGCTACAATAAACAGGTTCACACTCCATAAACATCATCTTTGTTCTTTTCTGTGGCCTTAAAAGCTTGCTCCATTTATAATGTCTTACATGGTATATAGTCTAGGTCATTCACTTAACATCATCCCAGACTCTACCTGTGACTCTCAGAGTTCATGGCTGGCCCTAATAGCCACCAGAGCTGGTGTATGACTTTTGCTCACTTGGTGCTCATAGTCTGAAGCACAGCCAGTGGCACACTTGGCCTGGCAGCTGTTCCCAAATCTGTGTAGAGTAGCCCTTCCTTTTTGTTAAACTTTCTGCATCAGGGCTGTCTCCTTGGAATGGTCTTCCTGCCCACCCAACAAAAGTAGCCTCCAAATCACTTTCTTGTTCTACTACATCAACTACTTTAGTGTATCATAACCGTTTGTCATCATCTCACATCACTGCATGTATGTGGTGGCTTGTTTGTTGTCAATCTCCCCCAACAGGATAAAACTTTGAAAATGTTCTTGCTAAGGGATGTATCTCTAGCCCTTGGAATAATACCTAGACCATTATAGGTACACAACAGGTATGTATTGAATGAATTAAGGAATGAACCAGCATGAAAACACACCCAAGGAACTTGCATCTCATAACACTGTTACTATAAATATTTCTAAAAGCTATTTCAAGTAAGAGGCAAAGAAAAGAGTGTTCCTATTGGCATGCTTCCAACCTGACAGCTTACTAAACTCCTCAGTAAGAATAAATCTATAAACCATGCTGACAAGTCCTCTTACATATAGCAGCAAGAAACAGCAGCTTTTATTTATTTTGAAAACATGACTGTAGTTCTTGGCTAATAGAAAGTCCTGCTCCAAAACAAGAAAGCAAGTTGAATAAGAACAGAATAAGAGATATAATTACAGAGCAAATGTGTTTTAGTTTTCTTGAAAGCCTGTAACAATTTGTTCCTCCTTAATAAAAAAAAAATAGAATCTATTTAATAAGATATTAACAACAACCAACTGAAGAAAACTGACAAGAACCAGTTCTGTAGATCTTGAAAAAGGCTTCTTTTAAAGCACAGCTATGAGGGCCTGAGGGCTGGTGGAGGTAGCTGTGTCCAGCAGCTGGGTGGCTTGGCGAAGGAGGGGGTTCTGCCCCCATGGAGCTGAAGGGGAAGCGGTCAAAATTCTCTACTCCTGCTGGGCCAGCTAGGGTACCAGGAATAACTACCAGTTCACTAGAGAAACCTCAACGCATGGACTTTTGCTTTAATTGAGCTGACTTGGCTCAATTAAACAACAACAACAACAACAACCACCACCACCCAGAACAAAGGAATCCAAATTAAACCAAAAGGGCCTATGTAAGGGCTATTAAATGTGTTGAATATAAGAATTTTCAGTTTACTAAGAGTACTTACCATTAGATCCTTTCTCTAACCAGTTCCACAATATACTGATTTAAGGTAGCACTTATGAACACTACCAACATACATCTTCCTAGGAACAAGCCTACTGTTTTATGTAAGTTCACCTAAATGAAAACAAATCTTTTATACCTTAAAGTAGTACAGGCAGAAATGCAAAATATTTAAAATTTTAACACAGTGCATTACTTATCACAGAAAAGGCAGAATAAATTAAACTAGAGCGGCTCTGTGTTTTTCTGTTTCTGTGTAAAAATTACAGTTTTGTTATTTCCTGATACTAAAGTATTATATATTAGAATCGCTGGAGCACTGAAACCAAAGGGGAAAAAAGTCACATAACTATCTACATCTGTAGAAATTACACATAAAAATCTTAACCATATAACTGTGTCATGGTGACTTTGTTATATTTAATGAAATATGAAAGCCACAAAAACAGATCTTAGCTTTTTAAAGGTAATAGCAATAGCACATCAACTACTTTTTCAATTTGTTACCTTTATATTTTTTAGTGTAGAATAAAAAAAGGTTTTATCTACATGTTTTAAATGCCTGGTATAAAAAGGTAACATAAGCCTTCTGAGTGGTAATGACAATGGACAGGAGTAGAACTTACACCTATCTATAACAGAGGTGGAGCTGGGCAAAGCATTGACCACCCTTGTGTCTGCAAGGCTGGAAAAGTGCTTCCCCATATGGTGGCTAGAAAGAGTAAAGGAAATAGCCCAGGGAACTGCCAGCACAGGACCCAGCCCACTGCAGAAGGTCATGACTGCTTTCATTTCTGAGTGGTCACACACCTCCCTATCCCAAGAAGCATCTCCATGAATACTACCATCTGTGAAAGAGAAGCCCTGGACGAACTTGGGTCTGCACTCTCTTTGCTAGCCAGCTGTGTCATTCATCTTTCTTGGACCTTGGCTTTCTTATCTATGAAACAATGATTTTCTGATGTCTTTTAGGAGTTTTTCATTTTCAATATTCTAAAATCCTATAAGCTACGGTACCCTCCACAAAAACATAGTTCCGTTATTCACTTATTTCTTTATTCATTGTGTCTAGTCCTCCCACTGCATGTACAGACCATCAGTGAAAAGACAAGTTGCCAGAAATTTAAGTGTCTAAAATACCAGACAACTGACAGAAACACCTCAATTCCAAGCAGGCTGGTGTGGGCAGGAAAGCCCAGCAGGGTAAGCAGCTTAAGTACTTGCTGTAAACTGTTTGCAGTGTGGCCCCAATGCTCATAGATCAGACAAGTATAGGCTGCTCACCCACGTGCAATTATGAGTGAAGTTTAGAAAATCTAAAAATAGCCTGATGTGTCACAGAAGTTAATACTGTCAGTTGCTTTCAACTCAACTGTCAGGATGACGAGAAGGGTGAGTAACTATAGTAATGGAAAGATGAACACATAAAGAAGTCTTCTAAAGTTGACAGGAAAAGTTTAGATTTAATAAAACACTAATTTTCAATTCCAGTCTCTAAATCTTTGGATTTCGAATACTTCAATTACTTGAAGGTAATAAAATTGGAGTTTTGCAAAACAAATACTGTTTTAGTTTGGGTTCCAGAGCTATGAGGAAATACTCAGTCTGTCAGTTTTATTACCTGTATAAGTAAAGGGCCATTTGAACAAACACTATTGTGTTTCTTTGAGAGGATTTTCTCTGTATTTGTTTTGCTAGTCAGTTGCAAAAACTGCCTTGAACAGTACCTAATGTTTTAAGATATTTATTGAATATCTGATAAAAACATAGGGTAATAAGGAGTTCTCTTGAGATTTGCAAAGGAAGCAGAGAAATAACTCTTACAATCAGCCAGAGACAGTTCTCACAGCTACATGTGTACCCTGAGGCCCAGTGCACATGGAAGGTTACAGTCTCCAGGTCACAAAGGGATGTGATTAAGATTATTACTCTTGGGCAAAGATCTCACACACCTACTCTTTGAACCAACATGTCAAAATTGCAGCATCTTTCTGATAGGGGAATATTCAGTTGAGTATTGGGAAATGTAGTACTACTTCTAGCTCTTCAGCTAACTTCTTGTGGGGCCTCAGTACTGAGCTGAGTATGGCCATGCACTGGACAAGCCTCAGGTTTGTTCCTAGAAAAGACAGTTAAGAGAAAAGAGACTATTCCCACTGACTCTGCTCTTTGGGCTATGCCTAGTGCTAGAATTAAAAAATATATTCTGTAAACATACTGGCAAGACAGACATTCTTATCTCCATTTCATATATGAGAACAAACTCATAAGCTGGCTATGCTAGCGACAGAGCCTAGATTCCATCCAGGTCATTTGGTGTCACATGAGGTGGTTTCTCTTCAGATCCTACTCCACAGCTCTTACAACTACCTCTTGCCTGATCTATACAGATTGGTCCCTGAGAGCTATTTACATGCACTTAAACTGTCCATAAATTTAAGCGAATGTCTTACATTTTATAAGCATAAGATACTAGGTTTCTTGGAAAGTTCCTCTATAATCTTCCTTTCACCAAGGCAACTTTTGTTCATGGTTATTTTCACATTAAATATATATTATTTGACACCTGCTTTTTTAAACTTAAGCTGTGACGAACAGCTCCTTACATTAATAAATAAAAAAGTATTATAATCCTTATAAAGACTGTATTACTTTGTTACAGCAAATCCCTTACTAATGGATATTTCAGTCATTCCATTCTTTAACAATCAAAAGCACAAAAAATCACAAGGAAAAATACTAGGGTATTAATCATTTTTTAAAAAGTATAGCTCAAAAAGTACATCAAGAGCCTCATGTGAATCAACCTTGGTGTTTTCCTCAAATCTTTCATTAGAATTAAAACTGCCTACCAAATAGGAGCATCCTTTTTATGTCACTATTAAATTATGCAGATAAATTGAAATGTGTCTGTGGACTTTGGGGTTAAGGGTTCTTTCTAGCATCCCTCGATTCCATTTAAAAAATGTAGTCATGCTGCTATTTATATAAGAAAAAGCTGACAATTATGTGAACAGATTTTGGCTGAAAGTGAAACGTATGCACAAAAGCAAATGTAGTTCTGCAGTTAGTTGAAAATTCACAGCTGTATGGCCTTTACTTAATTCAAGTGTTTCCCTGGCCCCATGCAATGAAAAAATGCTCTTTTAGTGCTGATTGAAAGACCAAAATCAGAGCAAAAGCTGCTTGAAAATTCTGAGTTTAAATAAAGCTGCCACCACATACCAAACAACTTGGAAAGTAAATATTTCTTCCAATTATTTCATTGCTCTCCTACTTTGGTCAAAGCCAAAATCAAATAATGCAAAGGTCACCCAGGTAGCCAGACAAGCAGAAACACACACACACACACAGACACACACAGACACACACAGACACACACACACACACACACACACACACACACTTTCTCTTTATAAAATTAAAATTATATTTCAACAACCAATTAGTTATATAAATGTTATTCACATTAAACCATTCTTTTATTTTCATTTTACAGTATGATCATATTAGACATTAAGAGATTCATAAGACTAAATACTATATGTATTTTTGAATGGCTACTTCAGTATAAATAATAAGAATTTAGAAGGGAGTGGAGTCGGACATGACAGAGGTACAATTTCCTGGTGTGATCTGAGATACTACCCTGCTGATCATCTGTCAGGGTTTCTTCTGCTGTTTCCTTCTCTTGAGCCTTTTTCTGAAGGAGTGGCTGAGACAGTGGAAATAAAGCTAAGGGTAAGACAGGGCCCAGCTAGTGGGGAAGCAGCCAGTCACTTAGATCATATCTTTCTAAGATTAACAAACAAATTTATTAATCTTTAATAAATTTAATCTTTATTACTTGCTTGAGATCACTATGAGTTAATCTATACCCAATTGAAGCCATTTTGGTCACTTGTAATAGATTCCTGACCTAACAGACTGAGAGATGGCTTAATGGGTGAGAAAGAGAATAACCTCTAGTGAAGACTCCAGAAATGGACTACTCTCAGGGGCTCTGCAGTGGGAAGGGCCTTGCTGGATTTACTCTGATTCTCCCTTACAGGTGGGATGCATCTTAGTTTCCTACAGTACCTGATACTGCCATTTCTACACACTCCTGGTGCTGCATGTTGACCTGTTCATAAGAACACATATCTTGTTTCTCGAATTTGCTCAACAGGGAAAAGAAAGCATTTCCCTAGCAGTGTTGAGAAGGAGTAACAATATACACAAAAAAAATCTTTTGCAAGCAGCACAGAATTCTGGAAGCAATACAACATGATCCGGCAGAGACTGTTCCTAATACAAAACATGGAATCTTTACAAAGGTACAGTAGTACCTGAAGATTTTCTAATGTGACCAGTACATGCACGTATAAATGAATTTCAAACTCAAATATTCTTTAAGAGCAGAAGTAAAAATAGGTACTGCATTTATGATAAAAATAACCTTATACTAAAAAAAATAAAGAAGTTATTGTCAAAATAATCGTATCAGTGATTACAGACAGGCCACCACAGCAAAACTGCTGATTGTTTAATCTTGAAATTTCAGCATATCACTTTGGTTAGAGGCAGAGAGACATTTACAAAAGGCGGCGTAGCAGTTGGGAACTGAAATCTACAGTTGGATTGCTTACATTTGAACTGCCACTTCTCTTAGTAATGGTGTAACCTTGGGGAATTTCATTAGTCTCTGGGCTTCAGTTTCCTCATTTGTATAATGTAGATAGTAACAGTACTTCTACTATAGCGCTGTTGTGAGAAATAAATGAGGTAATTCAATGTCAAGAGCTCAATGCAGGACTGAGCGCACAGTAATGCTACCGGCTATTATTATTAAAACCACTCACTCCCAGGACCAATGTAGCTCACTCACCAAGATGCGTGTCCATCACCTTAGCACAGTATTTGCACATGGCATCCAGGTCATTCAACTGTCCTTGAAGGAAGGAAATCTGGGCTTCTAATTCTTCTTCCTAAATGAAGTGAATAAAGACATGGAAATTTTAAAATATATTCAAATAAAATCTCCAAGGTTCTCATGATCTGGACCATTTTAAAGAGGTACAATCTCTTTTCAAACCTAGATAAACAAAGAAAATAGCAAATAACAAAAACCTACCAGTGCCATCATCAACAAAATAGAAACAGGATAAAATGAAAATTTAAAAAGAAGTCTAGAATATTCCTAATTGCATTCTATTTTTGTGCCATGTTTAAATGTTTACACATACAACTTTGTAGAAAATAGTACATAAAATTTCTTTTAAAGAGAAAAAACAATAAAAAGAATGAAATAAAATTTCAAAACAAGATAATAGGGATAATAATGGTTAATACATTGGGTATTGTTATCTTCAAAGTAGCTGCTCAGAGTATAACATACATGAAAAATTGACCAAACAATATTAGCACAAACATTTCCATAAAATATTTTCAATAAACATTGAGCAACACAAATTAAACAGGCAAACTGGATTTCAGTGGACGATACATCTAGGCAAATGGTATGAAAACATTTAATTCTCCCTCCCACACTTTTAGGAAACTAAAGATTTCCATTTATATTGCTGGGAAAAGAAAACTTGTCAACTCCGACGCCCCCTGCTGACCTACACCAGCTGCACCCTGGCCTGTTAAGCAGACAGCTTCACTGCATCCTGTTACCTCACCCATGAGGCCAAAGCCAACCAGATGTGCAGAGCTGTGAACCTGTTGCCTTTGAGTAACTGCCTTTGTTCTGCTTCTGCAACTTTGCTTGTTTGCCCTTTCCCACCACAGACCCTATATAAGGCTCTCACACTTACAGCCCAGGCTTAGGGCTCAGGCTTTGGAGTGTCGACGTCCTCCGGGCCTGCTAGTGTAAAAAAGCATGGTTCCTTCCACTTCTCCAAGTGCCACTTGGTTTCCTCACCCCTGGAAAACCTAAAATTGCTGTAACTTTTGGTTTCCTGGCTGGGAAAACTGGCCCCTTGAGCCACTGGCTTACAGTCAAAGGAGCACCTGCAGGGTTCCCTCTTTGGAGAACTGCGTGGTGTGCCTCTAACCCAATTGGTGAGACTTCCTTCCTCAGGTGACGGGACCGGTGGGTACTCTGACATCCTACTGACTGGACTCAGCCAAGAAGTGAACCAGTTCCCTGTGGGGACTTCTGGACAAGGTAAGGCCCTGGGGCCTTTGGTCCCGAGTCAGGTCCGTTTCCATGGAAAGAAGGGGAGATTGATTACCCTCTAGGGTCCCATACTGGAGACCCCACTCAGGGAATGTCAAAAGGGGATAGGAATGTTTTAACCTCTGAATGATTGTGTGAATGAATGTGAATGTATCTGTGGCTCCCTGGTATAAGCTATGGAATCTGAATGGGCTCTCACCTGCAGTTCTGTGGTGGCATTGTAGAGCATAATGGCAACTCATCTCCTATAACAGCAGGCTGACCAGGCCCCGGTTTATACAGATGCACCTTAGCCAGTATGTGCCTAAACTCCCATTAGGAAAGCAGCCAGATGGGCATCTGAGTGGTTTCCTCTGGGAAGCTCTGTTCCTTTGTCACTACACCATGTATAGGGTGAGAAACTCACGAGATGGGGACCATACCTTCCAGGCCCACTGTCCTAGACTGCATGATCAAAAACTTCAGGAAGGCTTTCAGTGGAGACTATGGTGTTAAAATGAAACCCACCAAACTTAGAGCCCTTTGTGAAATTGACTGGCTCTGACTCAAGACGGGATGGCCACTAGAAGGAACCCTAATACTGACATAATCCAAACTGTTTAGAAAGTAGTGACTGGTGTGCCTGGCCACCGTGACCAGTCCCCATATGTAGATTCCTGGTTAGAGACTGCTCAGATTCTCCCACCACAGGTAAGATTCTGTGAGAGAAAAGAGGGACAAGGCAGGGTCTTCATTGTCCAGGGCCCTAACCCAAACTGAACCTTAAAGGGACAAAAGGAAGAAAAGCCAATTCATGAGGGCACCCCTCATGAAGAAGTCCTCCCTCCACCCTATTTCACCTTACCACTATCTGCTTCACCACCACCTGCCCTTCCAGATAGTCCACCCCCTCAGATCCCCCACTTCAAAAGGCCTCCCCAGATTCAGAGACAAGAGACCGAACCTCCCCAGGGCTGCAACTGAGTGCCTTCCTCAGGCGAACCTCCCTGTTCCTCAGATGTGCCCCTCACCCAGCAGCTATGCTCTGCACAACCACCAACACTCCAAATGCTCCTCCCTGAGGTCCAACAACCTGCACAAGAAGGAGACAACAAAGTTGAACAGCCTGGCCAGGTCACACTCTATTATCAACTCTTCAGCACCACAGACATTTTGAACTGGAAACACCACAGCCCATCTTATTCTTAAAAGTTCCAGGTGCTCACTGACCTCATGGAATCCATCTCTCAGACCCACCAGCCCACCTGGGATGACTACCACCAGCTCTTCTTCACCTTCTTCAATATTGAGGAAATATGCAGAATCCTGACAGAAACTTGGAAATGGCTCCAGACTCAGGCCCCTCTGGAACCCTAGACCCTGAGACATGGGAAAAGGCCACAGCTCCTGACACATGACAGGAATGGTATAGAAAGCCCTTCCTGGACCTCATGAAGGTTTGGCAAAGTTTGTATGTGTAATCCCATGGAAAAGTTATTGGAATTCCAGTAAGTTATTTCAATCTACCACTTCCAGTGAAATCCATGGTGGGAATAGATACACTGAGGCATATGTGTAGCTGTGGGGAGACAAGGGGGTGGTCCTAAGTTCAGCTAGTACAATGGTTAACCAGAACAAGGACCCTGACTCAGGGATGAACCCAGGTTTTACTAATTCATGAAGAGGGGAGTGGCTCGGGGATGAATGACCGTGTGAGTGGTGGGAAGTAGTGAGTACCTGAGTGCCATGAGCTGGGTTAATGGGAGGCCTGAAATCACCTTTGCTATATATATATATATATATACACACACACACAGAGAGAGAGACAGAGACAGAGACAGAGAGAGACAGAGACAGAGAGAGACAGAGAGAGGCAGAGATGAGGAAAAAGTAATCTGCGTAACACTATTCAAGGCAGTATTTAATGTTTTGGGGTCTGCGCTTCAGTTACACATTTTTTATGCCCTGAGAAGTCATAGCCTCTTATCGCGAGGTTTGTCTCAGCCAACAATGTAGCTGCACATGGCCTAGCTCACACATAATACTGGGGAGCTGTAGGTGGTGCTTCACTTATCTGTAGCACTGCTTTAAGACTACGTATCAGTACCTTGGTTAGAACCATTTCCATTGCTTAAAGCCATCTGAGGGGATAAGGAAATGTCCTACCTAGCTCTGTGCATATCAGTACATGGATACAGGGCCAGGTTTAGCCAAAATGGAGACAATTGTTCTTTGTTCATGAGAATCCTCTGGGTGGTCCTCCACAGAATGGGATTTCAATGCACAGGGAGGGACAAAGTCCTTTGCTGAATACCGAGTGGTGCTCCTCAGAGACACTGAGGAGAGGGTAAAGAAACCCACCAACATGTCCAAGGTTGCTGCTATCACTCAAAAGCTGGACAGGTCTCTGGCCAACTTCTTTGACAGACTTTGTAAAGGGTTTGCCTACACACCTGCTTTGACCCAGAAGCTACAGAAAATCAACATATGGTCAGTGCTACTTTCATGGGTCAGGTGGCCTCTGACATTCATTGAAAATTTCAGAAGTTAGAGGGCTTCATCAGAATGAATGGGACACAACTGCTAGAGGTGGCTAACAAAGTTTTCACGAATTGGGACAGGGAAGCCAAAAGAGAAGCCGACAGGTGAATGAAACAAAGGGGCTCCCTCCTAGCTGCTGCAATGCGAAGGCCTGACCCGTAAGCCTGACCCACCACGAAAGGGAGAAAAACAAGTCCTTCTCCTTTGTAAGATGACCAACGTGCTAGCTGTAAACAAACAGGACACTGGAAAAATGAGTGCTTACTCTTCCAGCGAGACTTAGAAAATCATCAGGACCCTTGCACCCAACCACCAACATTCTGAGCTGCAGCCAGGAGAAAACTTGCTCAGCCTGGCAGGAGCCAAATCAGAACAGGAGAGACAGGGCTTCCTGAAATTTGGCCTCTGGGAGTCCACAGTCAAGATATTAGTCAGGGAGAGACAAGTGACTTACGGTGGACACAAAGAGAGAAACTGCAACCATAGGGGCCACAGGGGTCCAGACAGTTTGCCCATTCTGTCAATCCCAAACCAGCCAGATGAGGTGGTTCATGAGTTCCTGTGTCTGTCTGAATGTCCTATTCTCCTCCTGGGAAGAGACTTACTAAGCTCAGAGCCTAAATAACTTTCACACTTGAGGAACCTGCTAGCCTGCTAGCCTTGGCACTCAGAAGTCTAGTCCTGTCAGTCACCATCCCCAGAGAAGAAGAATGGAGATTACACATGATAGATAAAAGGGAAGTAAACCCTCCACTGCTGTTGGAAGCATACCCCAAGGTACGGACCAACAAGTCCCTGTCTGGACTGGCCAAAAAGCGGGCTCCAATCCTAGTAGAGCTCAAACCAGGAACCAACCCTACCAGGCTGAGGCAGTATGCCATACCTAGAGAGGCACAGATTTAAATCTTAGAACTCATCAACTGGCTAACGGAGGTGGGAATATTGAGAGAATGTCAGTCACCTTGGAACACTCCCCTACCACCTGTCAGAAAACCCAGCCGTGGCTACCAACTGGTACAAGACCTCTGAGCAGTCAATAATGCCACCGTTACCCCACACTTGGTCATCCCAGACCCCTATACTTTGCTGAGCTTTTGCCTGAGGCAACATGGTTCACCCACTTAGATCTTAAAAATGCCTTCTCCTGCTTGTGCCGAGCCCCTCAAAGTCAGCTTCTATTTGCTTTTGAATGGAAAGATCCTAAAGTAAGACAGAAGACTCAATTAATTTGGACCAGACTCTCTCAGGGCTTTAAGAACTCCCCCACCTTATTCAGTGAAGCTT